TTTAATTATAGATTTATACATAAATCATTTCATGTTTGCTCCCTAATATCATTACAATGATATAACCATCATTTCTATATCAGAAGTAAGAAAACTTGTATTTTAGCAGTACTCCACTGGGAATTGGCAGCCAGGATTAAAATCCTTGTTTCCCCTAGACCTACATAAACAGAATCATGTATATATATTCATACATTCATAAGAAGTACCAGTGGTTGGTAAGCTTTTTAGACAGTAGACTAAAAACATAGGACATAATCAGAGTGTGTACATACATATGTTTGCACACACTCTTTCAATGCTATACCAGCTTTTTGGTTTCCAAATTCTGCCAGTTTAAGGATAATTTCATTCTCTTCAATTATTTCCCCCAAACAACAAAAAAGTTCCTGCTTTCTCATAACGATTCATAAATGTCCTTCTTCCTTTTTGTTTCGTTTAAAGTTTAATTGATTCACTGACTTTAAAAAGAGCACACTAGAGGCCACAACACAGAACTGAGTCAAGGAACTAATTGAAGCCAGGTTCATGAGGTCTTAAATTACCAAAGCCTTCCTGTCATCTTAAATTAAACTTCCTTATATACTTTTTAAGATTTATAACCCCAGGCTGATGCTGTAAAACGTCCCAGTTTTGAGTGAATCCCCCAGAAGGAAATGATATTTCCTGGAAAAGAAACCCTGGAAGGCAACTGTCCTCAACGGGAAGAGGGATCCAAGAGCAATGTGTGTGGTGGGGTCATGGAACCTTGGGGAGGGCCTTGCAAAGACAACAGTATCTCCGAGAATAGTTCCCAAGGATATGGCAGTTTTACTTGTGAGTCCTCCAGGAACAAGGTCATCTAAACTGAAAGAGGACACATTCTTCACTTGCTCCTACAAAATGAAAAACAGAAGAGCGAAGGATCATCCCCAGAGATCAAGTCTCCCCAGGCCCCAAGAGAACTCCTTTTTAGATTCAGAAACGTTTATCAAAACCATTGCCTTTCATTTCCATATCATCCATGCAATCCCTGACTTTCCCTTCCACACTCAGTTTTATCTTTATAACTACAAAACATACAACTGAAATATCTGTCCTTGTGATTTCATGGACACTTTTTGCAAGTTGGGAAAAGTAACCTACTATATAATGAAAGAATGAAAGGTCACTCAATATCCTGGGAAAAAAATCAGGCTAAAGGCATGTCTTTTAAGAAAAACTACAAATAACTACATGTTATTTGTAAACATATATGTTATCCTAACATCTCAATGCTAATCAGTATAGAAGAAATAGTTTCCATTTTATCATTATTTTTCTCTCCAACATTTTGCCAGTTATTCTCAGGTGTGTCAGTGGGTGTTATTAGCTGATTTCACATGCTATGTATGCTATACAATTTCAGGGAAATTAAACTTCTTCCTACCTCTTATGTAAACTGAGATTCTAACCGATTACTGCAAATGAGAAAAAGTATGATGAAGAAATATCCTAAATGACAGATACATTTACTGGTGGAGATGAGCTTTCTGAATCTGAAAATTAAAGGACTCAAGTTTGCCTGGCTTTCAAGTGTAAGAGAAAGGATTTTCTCCATTTTCAAAGCAATAATTACAAAAAATAACTATGACTCCAACACTTAAACTAAATTTTGCCACCTTATATGTAAGTATTTCTCACATTTCCCCACCTGTCTGGTCTTTAATATATCTTTTTCAAATAAAAATGAAACAAGAAAAATAGAAAGAAATGATCTTATTTTTATATTAAACAAATGTAAATGGGCCACTTTGTAATTAATGCAATGAGATGCTTAAGCCTTACCCAGGTTAGGTTTACCCAAGATCTCAACAAGATAAAACCTAATACATTTTATTAAATATATTCAAAGCTTAAAGATTGAATAAATGATTAAACAGGTCTTCATAATTCCAAATATAATCAAATATTTCCCATCATGGATATAAGAAATTTAGAATAAGCTTCATATTTATTCTGCTCCTACTATTATATTAAAGTAGATAAGTTGATGGAAGCAAAAATTTCAATTCTAATTGTAAAACTGATCAATGAATATCAAAAAAGGCTTTCCTTAAACACCAGTTATTAAAACGACTTAGAAACAAGGTCATTTTAACTTCAATTCAGAACCACAGTATTTTTCCTCTTGTAACATTTAATTATTCTGACAAGATAGGAGAAATTCTTTATTAATATTATCCAATAAAAATGATGGGTAATCTGGATATTTTAATAACACTTTTGTGTCAAATTACTTTAGGCCTGAGTGCTTTTTTAACAGTCTGTAATTAATACAACATAAAGAAGTCACAGCATGCTGTATTAGCTCAAAATTAGACAATGAAGCACAATTCCTAAGGTGGGAAGTAAACCTGGATTGGTTAGACCACTTTTTGGCTTTTCAACAGGAAAGTAACAAGTATCTGCATGTACATTATTGTATAGATACCCTGCTAATAATATCATGAGATTGGAGCCATTTCAAAAAAACAAACAAAACAAACCAACAACACACACAAAAAAAAAAAAGAGAAAGAAAAAGAAAAGGAAACTGGAGCTAGCATTGTACAGTAGGTAGATCTGTAGCCTGCAGCACTGGTATTCCAACTCGTGTCTGTGCTGCTCCATGTTAGATCCAGCTTCTTGCTAAGGTCCTGCACAAAGCAGCAGGAAAAGGTCCATGTACTTGGGCCCCTGTCACCCAAGTGGAAGACATGGAAGGAGCTTTTGGACCCCAGATGCTGGATTTGGCCAGGCCCAGGCTAGGTATTACAGCCATCAGGGCACAAGGCAGAGCAGAGAAGATCTGTGTGTGTGTGTGTCTGTCTGTCCTTTTGCTTATCTCTCTCTTGGCTCTTCTTCTCTCCATTCTTTCTTTGTAGCTTTGTAAATAAATAAGTAAAGTTTATTCTTTAAAGATTTATGTATTATTTTTTTTTGGAAAGACATATCAGATCAAGTTCAATATACCAAATCTACATCAACAAAAATATTGATGTCCTAAAAATAACGCCTGAAAGATAATAAAATGTAACATTCTTCAAAACACATAACACATTCTTTGTAAACTAAGACTTTAAATTCCTCTTCCTTGAGGTCAAAAATACTACATTTAAGTAAAGCAAGTACTCTGTAAATATTTATTAAATTATCAATTCAAAATTAACCAGATTCAGTTTACCAGAAGAAAAGCTAAGGAAAAGTTACTTTAGTTTTAAAGATGCCACGGAAGAGAATACTTGTCATAACTTTGCATTGAAAACAATAACACAATCTTACCCAGTTGGCATAAAAATCATGGCTATTTTCTATTGCTTTGCATAAACTGTAGAAAAACAGTCTAGGTCCAAAACATCTCTGTGGACTCAACGAGATGTCTGGGCAAATACACATATCTTCAAACAGTCATCACTACTGACAAATTATAGGCAAGATATTCCACAAGGAAGATGCCAAAACTGAGACAGGTAAGGCACTAACAAAGGATATTTGTTACAATTCCAGAGTCAATTTGCTTTGTGCAGAATCACTTATTTTCTTCAGCTAGTATTTTTACTTACTGTACTTTGAATTGCTTAAGCTAAATCTAGGAAACATTATTTCTGAGAACTTTCAAAATCAAAATTTCTTTATATCAATGATACATGCATATTCTCAACAACATTTAAACATTTTCTGTTTCTTTTTCATTATTAAGCAAATCAAATAAACTTTCATTGTAGACACTTTTGCCATGACTTTGATTCCTGTATTATTTTCTTTCCTCTCACAAAAATCTGCAAGGAGCTTAAAGAACTGAAGACTATGTACATTACTGAATAAAGAAAAGCATCCTGCATCACCACACTGACTTCATACAACATGGCTTATTTTTGGTAAAACCATGATTATTTTTGGCATTTTAGGATCCACTGATAAATGAAAACAGAATCTGCCAAAGTGCATTGAATTTAAATGGCTATATACAGAAGTAAACATTGCTTAATGTGAAGTGAAAATGAAGGCTTCTATGAGAGTTGACTGTGAGGTTGAAGATGGTTTCTCAAGAGTGGAACAACTTTAAGTTCTGAATAGGTGGAAGTGGTTGATTAATGAACTTGGGAATTTTATTCTCTGAGTCAATGTTAATTACCAAAAACAAGCTCAAGATAAAATGAGTGTTGTTAGGTTTCACACTGGGATTCCAGTATGGAAACATTACTTACATTTGTTCTGTATGTGGTTATATTTTAAAATATGATGCAGACCATTTCTACATTTCTTGCCTCAACCTTTTTCTTGAAAGAAGAAACATTCGCTGTATGTAGCCAGGTTACCCCTCTGATTCTAAACTGTGAATAATGAAACTAATTATTCACTATAACTCCCTTATTACACATTTCTTACTGGTCCTTCTTCTTAGGTTGAACACTGACTCACAGTATCCCAAGCTAGATAACAACAATAATTGAAGAGGGAAGGAAATTGCCATAATTTGGGAGTTTTTTTATCCCAGGGTGTGACTACATGTACCAAAAGGCTCAAACCAAATATTTAGAGTACTCATAGCCACTTACAAATACATACACATACAATCTCATATAAAAAATACAGTATTTTTTCATACACTAATACTATGGCAAGCAAAACTAGAATTTTTATACCAATTTTACCAATTAACAAGTACCAATAAACAACACATACAGGAGAATAGGATTCCATTAGACATTCCAAATACTAACGTAATTTATAGAAAGAAGGAGTCGTGCCAACTTACACCAAACACATTTCATACACTATAATAGAAAAAATAATATTCAAGAGACAGACAGATATTTCACTCAGAAGATGACAGATGCATCTGGTCCAAGCAAAAGAAAGTGGGTTTAACTGTAGTACATTAGTCAGATAATCACATCACCCTGATAAAACAAGTGTGGATTTTCAAACTCACAAGGGATAATTAGTTAAGAACAAGTTACATTTTAATCAAGCAAGTCCCTGCTTCCTTTTCTTACCTGGACTGCATATCTTGCTGAGTTTTGGCCTGACTGGTTTCCGACTGAGCAGAGGAGGGAGCAACTCGCTGCTGAAGTTCCACCAGGGACTGGTAGTACTGCTGTTGATGATGTTGCTGCTGTTTGTAACGAGACAAACTAAAAAACAGCCCAAGAATGGCTTTCAAGTTTCCATTTCTTATTTCTGTATCAAATGGAAAAATATAAAACAATATCATCTAAACTGAATGTTTTTTCTATTGCACATAAAAGTCTAGGTGCAATTCTCTTGACCTAAATCTATGAAGACAGAAATACAACTTGATTTGCCAAGTAACATACTTAAACAGATATGAATTTCTGAAACATGCAATATTTGCTAAGAAATTGGAATTCCAGTGAGAAAAGGAAGGGATGGAAAATGAAGTCAGCTCATTCTAGAGATGCTCTTGGCTGAGCATGGATTTCCTATTCTTCTATAGTTAGCTGCTTCTAGGAAATGCATCAGTGTTTTCTCCTGTGTTATTTGACAACACTCTGCTTCCCTCCCAAAGCACACACAGCTGCTACCAAGATAGCAGTGGCTATGGACCAAGAGAGCTACCTCAATGTCGATTATCCTGTATTTATAAACCCTGAGGGTACAGGTGCACCTGATTAAAAACAACTGGATGTACACCAGCCACCATTTCCCTAAATGATACAACAAACACATTAATATACATATGCATGTATCTTCCAAATACACGTGTCTATATGTTCAAGAATATATGAATATCCACATCTTCCCAAAAACAGACTACAACATAACAATTTTCAGTGATCCAATTATTTACTTTTAGTTCATGCTATATAACAATGTGCAGTCACGATCAGGCAAGATGAGGTTCGATAACACAACTGAGTCAACAGAAGCAGAAATTCTAGCTCTGATCAACAGGGCTGCTGGGGCAAGTTCTTTTGGTATAGAATGAAAAGAACTAAATCCACAAAACTAGGCTGCAAGTAGGCCTAACTTTTTCACTTATAGCTATAGTTTAAGAGTCAGGGAAATACAAAGAAGGAAACTTTGAAGCCAGGCTATATAACCTAGAATCTATTTGAAATAAAACTTGCCATTTTCAATATATACATGCTCATCTGGGGTTGAGATTTTATATCCCCTTTTAGAATTTAGGAAGATTAGCAAATTATTTGGATTTACAAGCTGTTTTTTTTTCATATCTCCTAAACCATAAAATGAATATTTCATGCAAAGGAACTTATAAGTCATTATCTTTTCCCCCAGACATCTCTCAGAGTTTCCATAATATGGAAAAGTTGGCTTGATTAATAAAAGAAAGCATTAATTTTCTCCTGAAAATCTGAGCAATGCTTTAAATAGAAGTTTTCAAAATCTGGGGAATTTTCACATGTTTGTTTAACTCAGAGACTCACTTCTGAGTAGTTACATACTTACCAGATAAATAAAAATCAATAGGCATATTAATAAAGGTTCTGATATAAAAAAAGACATATGTTAAACAAATGGAAGCATTTCTACCTTAGCATTAGCCATTCAAAAAGGAAAAGATTAGCCCAGGGGATTTTATTCTGAATAACAAAATCACCAGTTAAAATTAACCCTAAGTTATTTTCTGCCACTAAGAATATAATCTAACTATGTATCATAGCATATAAATATAAATGAAATCTAAAATTAAGGTAAGTTTTAACACAGAGGAAAAATGGAGAAGAGTAAATAGTTCCTAATGTGCAGAATTTCTGTTTTTTTTCCCAATTATCAAAAAATGTTAAAATCTTAAAAATAGCATAAGTAATGTTAAAGACATAAGGGGCTTTTACAAACAAGTTCATTGTACTAAAATGCAGATTTTGCCACATATTTAATGATATCCAATAGCATTTTCAGATATTTATTGAACAGTAATATCTGAATAATAGATGTTACTGAAACAGGATCCAAAGGATTTGTCATTTCATAATTTTAGCAATTTTTATGAACATTACTTGAAAATTTGCTGACCATTTTATTACAGAATGAGAAGTTGTACCATTAATCTTCTGAATAGGCACAAAGCTTTTTATGATAGTTTAGTAAATTTAATATTTAACAAGGAAAACTGCACAGACAGATGGGATGGAAGGAAGGAAGGACGGGTGAGCAGAATCACAGATGACAAACGACAGTACAAAGAATCAAAAACACCACTTAGTAGTCTTAAATAGATCAAAGTACGCCTAACATGCCATGAGTTCTTGTGAACTTTCACTGTCCTTCGATTATAGAAGAAAATGAGGTGCAAAAAAGGCAAAAATGAGTTAAATCTTTATCTATTTTGCTACATTTTCATTTTAGAGATGGTATTTTTAATATTTGATTACTTTAAAAGCTTTACCTAATGTTCTTAACATGACTGGTGTTGTTTCAAAGCTAATGGTAATTTATTTAAGGTTATCAGATTTGGAAAATCACTACTCAGTTAAAGAAATTTTCTGGGTAACATTGGAGCATTAGACTGTTTTACTTGTATTTTTGTATATCTATCATCCTCCACTATTGAGTCAGCTACGTACCTACTTAAAAATCTAAAAAAGAAAACACAGTAGTAGTAACAAAAAAGTTTTACCGATTCCTGCCCCTTTCAAATCCTGTCAAGCAAAATTTAAAAAGAATAAAAGCAAAAACAAACCTTAAAAATAAGATCATACATTAATAATCATTTTGTTCCCAATACCAAATTCCTTTATTTCATTAAGGTGCCATATATTCTGACATCACTTTTTTCACATTATGAAAGTCTTTTAAATATTAATGCAAATTATGGCAATGATACTTCTTACCTTCAGCAGACAAACCTTGGACATTCACTCCTCTGGCTGCTAAAAAACTAAGGCAGGCATCAACATTCTCAATCTGGAACATGAAAATCAGTGAAAAAAGCAATTTAGAGGATTTAAAAAAAATACACAAGTCAGATGAAACTAGAAAGAAAGATAAAGAATGAATACTTCGCATTCATTTCATACTAGAGATCTTTACCAGAGTTTAACTAGAATTATTTTGGCTAATTACAGAACAGAGATAAAGCTCTCATTGTCCATTTTAGTACTTAGAAACAATTCATAAAGGCCTGATTAAGAAGGGCATTCTTGCAGATTAGCTGCCCACCTACTTAACATAAAACTGGATTTTGTGCTTTTCAAAGAAATCTCAATAGAAGCATCCACACAAGCTGACTGCTGTGTGCGTAAACCTTAGCAAGTTAGGATGTGGGTAAAGGAGACAGAATCAGTAACAATGGTTAAGAATGTTTTAAGCATATATGATGGACAAAGGATGAAACAATATTTAAAAAGTAGACTTTCATTTTAAACCATACTAAAACTATTTTTAAAACTGTCCCTTTCCTCCACCCCCGATCTAATGTGGATATTGCCTTTGCCTTTTGGAAAGAGCCATGCCAATGGTCCTTGTGTGATTACTACGTAGGAGGCAAACATCATGCAGAGTAACTTAAGTAAAAATTTGGTCTCAGTGTTGCTCATAGTGTTACACAGTAGTTACTCAGCAAGGACTTTGATCAGAATCTTTTAAAGAGGACCAAAAATGTTCTAGTTCTAAGTCATCTCCTATGTTTTTTTTTTTTTTGGCATTCTATAAATCTTGGAAGTCCTAAAGTAAATAAGAGATTTTTAAGTTAAAAACTTGGCAAGATATTCATTTCTGTCTTGTTAAATTGCTATCAAACGTTGGGCATGAAAACATTCATAGCTCTGCCAATCTCTGGCTTAGTTTTATAAGGTCAAAATGCTACTTAGGAAAAAAAATGTTCAAGAATCTGTGCTTATAAAATGGACAGACTGTTTACATTCCTTTTAAAACGTAATTTTGTGCAAAAAAATATATAGTAGTTGCATCCAAGGAGATGTTCTTTTATTTAAAATTGTCGAAGCCAAGGCATACATTTACTTTGAAGGAAAAAAAATGGTTTAATATCACTTCAAAATAAGTTTCACTAAAATTATCCTGCCTAAAAATAAGAATAATGCTAGATATATTTAATATAACATGAATCAAATGAAACTTGTTTTTCTAATTGATAATCTTAATATCCTATGAGACAGCAGGGTATTCTGTCATATGCATCCAAGGTGTTTTTGTCTATTTTTAATTGATTTATTTGAAAAGCAGGGAGACAAAGAGTGAGGAAGAGAACAGAGAGAAGTTCTCTGTTGACTGGTTGACTTTCTAAATGGCCACTTTAGATATGGTCAAGTCAGATTGAAGGGAGCCAGGAACTCCATCTGGGTCTCTCACATGTGTGGAAGGAGCCCAAGTTCTTGGGGCATCTTGTGCTGCTTTCCAAGGCACACAGCAGGGAACTGTACTGGAGCTAGAACAATAGGGACTTTGAGCAGCTGTTCTGATAGGGGATTTGTATCACGAATGGCAGCTTAACACAGGTGCATAAATAGGTTTCTTTCTGGGCAGTTAAAAAGGAGGGAGGTGTATGGGGAGAGAAAAAGAAAAAAAGGGGGAGGTGTAACAGACATTCACCTCAGTCAAGACATGCTTGAATTTTCTAGATCCTTCTAATGTAGACCCGGGAACAACGATGGCTCAAATACCTGAGGTCCTACCACCCTCAGGGAAACCCATGATTGTGGCCTGGCTACCAGCTTCCACTCCAGCCACAGCCCAGTCACTGCAGCATTTGTGGAGTTAATCAGTGGAGAGCTGGGCGGAGCTCACCTCTTCACACTTCCCCTCTCCTTTTCCATCATCCTCTCCCTTCTCTCTCACTCCCCACCCCCTTCTTTCCTTCCCTCTTCCTCCCTTTTCCACTCCCTCTCCTTTCTCTTTCTTAAATAAATATGTTTAGTTTAAAAAAATAAAAATATACTGAAATTAAAAATAAATATTGTGACCTTATTATTAAGAAAGGCAACTAAACTCAGTAATTTACATGATTAAAATACTAATCTTGATACTATAAATTTCATACCAATTATGGAATTTTTATTAAAAAGTTTTCTGTTTCAAATATGTAATTTACTATGAGATATTAATGGCATATTTCAACCTAAATTTTAGTAAATATATTAAATTCACTAAAATTTAGTTATAGGAACATATTAAGTCATGAGAAGATCCTGAAAATGCTATTAAGTAGGACCTATAATTAAATATATAAGATAGCTGTTTTAGTATTCATGTTTTTTTAAATATTTTTATTGGAAAGGCAGATTTATGGAGAGATAGCGAGAAAAATCTTCCATCCTCTGGTTCATTCCCTACGTGGCTGCAATGGCCAGAGCTGAGCCAATCAAAAGCCAGGAGCTTCTTCCTGGTCTGCAACATGGGTACAGGGTTTGAGTCAACCTCTACGGCTTTCCCAGGCCACAGCATAGAGCTGAATGGGAAGTGGGGCAGCCAGGACATAAGCTGGCGCCCAGGTGGGATTCCAGCACATACACATGACAATTCCTCAAAATTAATTTTGGCCCCAAAAATGTATCTTTTATTTGAATCTTCAGGGACATTTGGGAGAACTTTATTATATGCACATCTCTCTGACAGCTGCCAAAATGTAGTTGCAGGAAGGCTCTTTTGTATTTCACTCTCTAGGCCCTCCACAAGCCTACAGTACGAGCGCCTTAGATGATCAAGAAACAAGTGCTGTGGGAACACTTGAATTAGAGCAAAGTTGAAATAATGTTTCTATGCCTGAAGCACTAAAATAAAAAGAAATGCTTAAACCATAATTTAAAATATGATTACTACCGAAACCCAACATCATCTACTGAATACGGACTCCACATATTGACTTACTTTTCAGCAACTTAAGGTTCATGTTTCCTACATTTATTGCGCTCACATTCAAAGTACCTTATTTCCACACCTGTAAGCTACTGTCTAGGTTGCCTTACACCTAGGCAAGTGATACACCGCTGTGAGATAAGCAGCTGACGCCTGGTGGGCAGTCTGGGCCTAGTTAATGCCAAATCTTTGCTAACCATACAAGTGTGCCAGCATAATTGCCTACTCTTCATTTTTTTCAAGATTTATTTTATGTTCATTGCAAAATCAGATATACAGAGAGGGGTAGAGGCAGAGAGAAAGATCTTCCATCTGATGATTCACTCCCTAAGTGGCTGCAATGGCCAGGGCTGAGCCGATACGAAGCCAGGAGCAGGAGTCTCCTCCAGGTCTTCCACATGCGTGCAGGTCCCAAGGTTTTGGACTGTCCTCCACTGCTTTTCCAGGCCAGAAGCAGGAAGCTGGATGGGAAGCTGGGCCACCAGGACATGAACCAACACCCATATTGGATCCTGCGCGGGCAAGGTGAGGACTTTAGCCACTAGGCTATTGCATAGCCCCCTTTTTAAAAAGCTATCTGAGGAAGACAGGGACTGCTAGGCCAGGCATACTGCATTGTCATCTAGCAGAAGTGGGGAGTGCTTCAGAACACCTGATAAGGGGGTCTGAGGACGAGTTAGAGTGGAGACCACTGAGGGCTTGTTTGACAGGTGAGAAGTGACTTCTGAAAACACATAAATTTCTGATTATTTAATTTTGTACATTAGTCTTGACCCTTATGAACCTGCTAGATAACAGCATGTCTAGTTGCTAAGTCACACATTGGGTTTCAAAGGAGGACAAGAAGAATTGATATTATCTTCATTTAGGAAAACGCAAGAAAGTCAGTGATAGCTTCATATCTTTAAAGTTTTTAAACTTATTAAAAATATGGGGTCAAAATGTGGTCCCATAATATTAAATATAATTTTAATGAGACTATCTATATTTTTATTCATTTTAGTGTGTCATAAACTATTCTTATTTAAATGTTCTGTATTTTACTAGCACAGACATTTATCAAACTGATGAACTTTAAATTGCATTTCTTGGAAACAACTCTTTACTTCTCTTTCTTTTCTTTTCTTTTCTTTTTTTTTTTTTTAGCCAAAAAACTGGTGTACCTTCTCTTTGAAAAATAACTAGAGGCATCTTTTACAGCATTAGCAACTTTATGCCTTGCATATTTCCAGGCTTGTTTTCCTACTTTACTTATAGGTATTCAGTAGAAATTACACTTAGATAGAAAATGCCTGGATATGATTAATATTATCCTTACAGCTTGTGATTAAGTCTAAACCATGACACAGCAGTTGACACTGAGTGACTGATTTATTCAGCAACTCCTCACTGTTTACTACTGGCAGAGAGCTATGCTAGATAGTGAAGGAATACAAAATGAATTAAAAGGTCTTTGTCTTACGAGCTTGTAAACTAGCTGAGTAGACAGAAAATATCCATAAACTGCCCAAAAACAACATTTCATATGTTAAGTTTTAGAAAAGAATTCTAAGCAACACTACATGGTACCAAAGAGAATGGAGTCGCAGTCCACTGCAGTCCTGGGAGTGGATTTGCAGATTTGAAAGTCAGACGTTCTTAACAGATAAGCATCACAGGAGGAAGCAGGCCATGTCAGTGAGAGCATGGGACACATGGGCTATATCATATCAGTCCTTCCTTTCTGAGGAACTCCAAAACTACTACAATGCAAATAGGCTAAGCAACAGCTAGGAACAGTAACTTTCTACAGAAGCAATGCATCCTGCCTAGGACATGTCTAAAGCACTAGATATGTATGTATTACTGCTATGAATCATACATAGAAAATGACTAGAAAAACACAGGACAAGCTGAACTTTGGCTGTCTCTGGAAGGAGAATTCTTTTGTGACTTGTGCTATTTCTGATTAACTATGCTTTCCATTTTTCATGATAAATCTCTAATGCTGGTGTCATGATGTAAATTAAATAAATAGATTAGAACCAAAAATGCAGATTAGTTGTCTCTGAACAAATTCTCAAACTAGAATAGACTTTAAGTAATTATATACA